CAAACATTATTGTATTTATTTCCACTTAATTCTTGAAATAAAATTTATTTTCAATATTATTTTCCTTCATTCTTCACCATTGTAGAAATATTTCGAGTGCTAGTGTTTCTTTTGTTTGTTCATTTGGTAGTTGTCTGGTAACTTTGTCTGGAAGCTCTTTTAGATGAAGACTCATGGGTCTGTGCATTATTAAGGAAATGTTCTCCTCCAAAAAACAATTAAGGGGATAAGAGAAGTAGAACAGGGAATTGATCACTCCAAATAAATGTGACACTTAAATTTAAATCAAAATCTTAACAGCAACCCAATCCCTTAGGTTTCTCCAGAACTGAAGTGACATCCTATTTTTTTGTTGGGATTGGGTTGATAGAGCTGAGATTTGAAACTTCCACAACCACAGATGTTGGCTATGGGCTTGCCCCAGGGTGCACCCAGGCGATACGGGTATAAGAGCAGAGCATCCATAGAATTTACTACAGCAGTCTTTTTTTCCTTCTATAGTCCTAGTTAAAACAAAAAATAATATTTCTTATTCTATGATGGTAGCGATGATGGTGCCTCTGTGTAAACTATGTCATTTAATCTAAAATTTGTTGATTAAATATAGTTGATCAGCTAATGAAATTTTGATTGATCACTATGTTTAGAACAAGTGTACAATTTGTAGAAGTACTGATTTATGCTATTAAGGAAATTTAAATTTAAGAATGATATCATATGGTAAAAATTACATATAGATATGAAATGTAGTCCTGAATAAGACCATCTGATACATGTATTGAGGATCTATAGAGCAGAAAGATAAGATTAGTGTTTGTTAACCAAGATGATGTTGAGTGTGTATTTTACATATAATTTTAATACATATCAATTTATAAAGAGAAAAAGGTAATGCGTTTCTTACTGAAAAATATTTTATGCAGAACTGTGGTAGAAATCATTCAATTGCATGTAACATGTTTACCATTAATGTACTTGATAACTCGTTATTTTCAGCTATGAACATTTTTTTAGTTTCATCCTATTCTTTATTTACTTACAGTTACTTGCATTAAAACATGGGATTTTGGCATTTTACCTCAGCTAGTGACCATAAAGTAGTAGTAGATGACAGATGGCTGATTCAACAGTGATATTTTCTTGGTATACTATAATGCAAATCTGAAATTAATAAGGCAGTATTACAGTGATATAGATATAAAATATAGCCCTTTTATTTAAAAAATCAGTTCCACAAGAATAGAATTGTCATATAAGATAGACAGCCCCAATATAGTTTAAGAGTGTTTTGTGACTGATAAACATAATAAGACAATTTCACAATACTTTCGTAAAATAGAGTATGCAGGTTATAGAAGGTAATAGTACTCTGTATTCATTGAATAACTTTTGCAGTATTGCTTTCAGTCCTCAGACACATTTAAAGAAGGATAAACACAAAACAAAAGATCATCTAAATAAATGAGATTGATACGTAAGAGATGTGGAGACCTTGCGGTAGAAAGAATCTTTGAATGTTCTAAATTTCTGAAATCTGAAGAGAAACCTTACAGAAAAATTAATGACTGTATTTGAATATTTGAAGAACTGCAATGGGGTTCAGATTGTAGGTTTTGTTCTGCGTTGCACTGGAACAGAACTTCTGAAGTTACAGCTCTCCAGATAGAAAATGGGCTGTTTCTGTGTTGCAAGTGTCATCTGGTAGCATCTCCCTAATAGTGTCATCCAAGGCTACATGCCATTTGTCAGGGACTCCATAGAAGAACATGAGTAAATTAACTCTGAGACACCTTCAACTCTAAGCTTTCCCAAATCTGTGTATTTTTGCCTGCACAGTTACAAGCTGTGTTCTATAGCACACTTGACAGTAAAATTTATATATGTTAGAATCTTTAAAAGTAAAAATTTTAAAAATCATTAATATTGAATAGCTGGTTAACAAAAAGAAAGTAAGTAGAAAGAAAAAGTGAATAAATCATGTCTTCATCATTAAAGGCATCTGGGATACTTAAACTCATTTCATTTACTGCATCTGAAATTTTTATTGTATTGAAATGCAATGTTTTCACTTTCAGGTTTTCGCTCCCAGTAGCTGCAACAGCAGAAAACTGCATTCTTACTACTTACCCATATATGGCAATTCATCTGGATAAGCAAAAGATTATTTTAAAGAATGGTAAGCTAAGTATGACTTATTTATCTCTAACTCTCACTGTATAGATTATTGGACAACATCTAGAAATAAAGTGAATTTAAAATTATCAGTTGTTTATTAAACAGCTGCCATTGGTAGGAGCTGTGCTTGTCATTGAAAGTAGAATATATATGTCTCTTAAATCCAAAAATTGACAATCTAGTTTGAACACGATGATGTAGACAGAAGACAATATAACAAAAGCATGTGGGTGTGACAGGAGATATAAGGCAGGAAATGTAGGTACAGGGCCATAATGCTTAGACCTTTATTCTATAGTAGCGGGAACCATCTGTCATTTTTTGAGTATCAGTGATTAGAAAGAAAACAATTCTTAGGATGTATGATGAATTAAAGTGGGACAGAATATGGTCAGTAGACAAGCCTGGAATTGCTGCAGGGGAAATTGTGAGAGAAGCTAAGAATACTAAACAAGCTAGTGAGCAGGGAGAAATAGGAAAGGCAAGATACAGGGAAGTACATTAGAGAAAGGAGGGAGAGCGGGTAACAACAACAAATCCCATCTGTGTAGATTGTCAAGGTCTTAATTTTCAGTGCTGAATTAGAGGTCTTTTTTGTTTGGTTTTAACCAGTTTTCTCATATTCTTCACTTGTTTCTTCAAATATTTACAACTCTCATAAAACATGTTTAGTTTTATTCTACCTCAATCTCAGGAGATGATTCTTTTTTCATACTATTCAGAAGAAATAGAGGCCATTAAGCAGTACCACTCAGAACTTCCAAATACCCTTCCAAATATGGGTTGGAACTGGATTGTGACAAGCAAGTCACAAGCATGTATTGTGACTCATTTTACTGGTCACAAAGCTGGGGGCCAGTACTGTCTCTTGCCTTAAGCCATTCCTTTATCTGAATCCCTTTACCCAAGTACCTTTCTGAATCAAGTAACCTTGCTTATATTCATTTCTGTCTCCCTCTTGGCTGCTTTGAGTAAGCATCCAGGAAGACAGCAGAGAGGAGAAAGGAGACTATATCTTCTCAGTGCCCAGCAGGCTCATTCCCAAAGAGCAAAAATGGTAGCTTCAGGCCATGCATCCCTTATTAATTCTTTCCAAATCTAACTGTAAGATAAATCACTCAACTTCCCAAGGAGAGGGAGAAAAGTAGCAGAGGAAATTATGCAATTAAAATACTTCAGCTGGCTTTAACAGGAAAAATTTCAGGGATGAGGAAGAAGAATTTATCCATTATGCTGCCATTACTAAACTACTGAGTGCAGCTAAGACTATTGACTATTCTTCCTCCATCTTCAAACTTTCTCTGGGTTTCCACATACCATAATTCTTCGGTCTCCTTTAACCTCTCTGACTATTCCATCTGAACATCTTTCATAGATTCCTCTTCGTCTATCTGTACTTTTAAATTATTTGTGTCAATACGAATTCTGACCCCTCTCCTCTTCTTCCTTCCATGACTTCAGCTATAATCCATGGGCTATATCTCTAGCCTAGTTTCCTCTCAGAGATTCAGCAATCCAGAATTCAACTGCCTTCTGGATACCATTCATTGTATTCCCATAGGCACCCCCAAAACCACATATTCCAAACTGAAGTCCTCTCTCTGAAATTTTTTTTCTCTATATACGCCATCTCTGTTTGTACCTATGGTCCATCCAGGTGCCAAATCTGGAAACCTGAGTGCCATCATTGGCAATGTGTTTTCTCTCACACTCCACTTCCAGTCCACTGATTCCTGTCCCTTTTGCTGCCTAAATATTTATCAAATCCATTCACTTTTCTCCCTTTCCACTGCCACTACAAACATTCAAGCTGCCATCATATCTTTCCAGGATTGTTGTAAGGGTTTCTAAACTCTTCTCCTTCCTCCTACAATGGTCTCCCCCTTCACAAACCTACCCTCATGCCATGGCCACAGTGATATTTACAAACTGAAAATTCATTCTTTAATTCCCAGGTATAAAATCTTTCCATAGAATATCATTGCTAGGTAGATGAAGCCTGCAAGACCACACATGTGAGCAAGTGGCTTAGTTCTCATTTCTGGACATTTTTTGCTCTATTCTCAAGCCACATTAATCTTCTGCAAGTTCTTTGAGCATGTTGACCTTTACCGATATTTTTTCTTGTGACTGGAGCATTTTATCCATGATAGCATACACAGTTATAGAAGATCCCTGCCTGTGCATGCAAAAAGTATGTGTTTCTCTGGTGTATCCTCATAGTTCTGTGCAATTCTTCTGTCACAGACATTACTACATTTTGACTTAACCTTCCTATTATCAATGTCTTTTTCCAAAAGCTGCTATCTATAAAGTCTGTGAGAGTAGGAATCACCTCTCTCTTTTTCACTCATGTCTCCATAGTGCCTCACACAATGTCTAGCAGATAAAAGGTCTTTGTTCAGTATTGTGAAATCAATTATTTGAATTTTAAACCATCAGGAAGGTATCTTTTAGCTATATATTTTCATAAAATAATGAGTTATATGTGGAATAGCATATTATGAACACTGAAAAATTATTTTAAAGAAATTTATGGAATAATGCAGTTGGCAGGATGGAGATATACAGGGAGAGATAGATATCTCAAAATTTTATCACACATTGTCAAAATTTAAAGCTCTTTTCTGACTAATATTGATACAGTGTTTTTATATTCTATACTGCAAGGAGGAGTATTTCAGAATAAGACAACGTAATAGTTATGAAGAGTCACACAAACTGGATCGCAATTCTCATTTGTGTTCTAACCACACTATTATGCCATATGATTTTATTTTTATTCTCAAATCTTCAAATTTACCATCTTCTATTAAGCAAAACATGCATGACAGAACAGTAACAGAACACTGATATCTCTTTTACCTATTTAAAAGGGCTTTTGTGAGGACCCATAGACTGCAAATACATGGAAATTATTGTTATTAATATTATTTCAATATTGTTGCTATTATCACTGTGGTTGTGATTGCTTTATCATTTTTATATGCCTTATAATTTACTTCCAGAAAATAATGATTAATTACTGGCCAATAAATAATATTGTTATCTCTGTAAAAGAAATAAATAAAACCTGTATGATAGATTATTAAGCATAAAGTCTATGTATTACAATAATGCATCCATTTGGGGAAATATTTCAAAAGAAATAAATTATAATTCTTAAATATTCTAGAATATCTTTAGAAATATGTATAGTAATAATTTCTAATGTATATTTAATGCTTCCCAAGTATATGGTACTCTGCTAAGTACCTTATATTTATCCTTTAAATTAGTCCTCCCAGAAGTTCTGAGTTAGATGCTCTTACACATCTCGCTTTACAAATTAAAAATCTGAATATGTAGAGAGGGTGAGCAGGCTGTCCCAGAGAATTCTAATGAAATTTGAGGCCTCAGAACCCATACCCTTTGGTACTATGTGCTAGGATATGATGGGATCAATGAAGGTAAAATATTAAAATATATCAAGTCAAAAGTAAAGCAGCATGATTATTTTAGAATTGCTCATCTGCAAAATTCTTTCGAAAAGTAAATTATTGAGTTTAGTTGAAAGGGTAGAGATTTGGTTTTGCATTCCACTAGGAACTTTTTTTTATCATTTAATGGCAAGTTAAAAACATTTAACCTAATGCATCTACCACAAATAATTCTATCATCAAGTTCTCTAAGGCTCACTTCTATGAAGTCTATAATGGTGTAGCATTCTGGAAATATTGCACACCTATTGACTACAGAGTCTCTGGCAAATTCTGAACTACTCTGTTGTGAAAGAGTGAAAGAAACTTAGCATACAATAGCTCATTTATATTTGGTGTTACCTTTCAAATAATCTTCACAACAAACTCATGAGCTCAGAAACTTTGGTCTCATTTTATGGATAAATACACGTTTTAAATAATTCATATAACATACTCACAGTTTAACTTGTCAGGAGTAGAGGTGCCAAGTTTTCAAATCAGATTTTTCTAACTGCAGAGTCTATGCATTTTTGACAGAATCAGACTGAGTTAGGAGCTGGGACTTGACCCCAGGGCAGGGATTGGACACTGGATCATATGGAGGACTAGCTAAAAGAGAGTCAGGGCAAAATCAGCTTGCTTTCTGTCTTTTCTTTTTTTATTGCTGAGACAGGGTGTCCCTGTGTCTCCCAGGCTGGAATGCAGTGGCACAATCTCGGCTCACTGCAGCCTCTGCCTCCTGGGTTCAAGCAATTCTCATGCCTCAGTCTCCCAAGTAGCTGGGGCTACAGGCGTGTACCACCACACCCAGCTAAATTTTGTGTTTTTGTAGAGTTGGGGTTGGGCAGGCTGGTCTTGAACTTCTGGCCTCAGGTGATCCTCCTGCCTTAGCCTGCCAAAGTGCTGGGTTTATAGGCATGAGCCATCTTGCCTGTCTGCAAAATCAGCTTTCAATCAGACATGCCTACCAGTGTGCCATGTCAATTTACCATTGCCATGTCAACATTTGGGAGTTACTGCCCCTTTACATGGCAGTGACCCAAGGATTACTACACTTTCCCTAGAAATTTTTGCGTAAACCACCCCTTAATCTGTAGGCCATTAAAAATGGGAATAAATATGACTGCAAAACTGCCTTGAGCTGCTACCCTTTGCCTAGGGGTAGCCCTGCTCTTCAGGGGCAGTCATGGAGCTTAATACTGCTGGAGATGTAACACTGACTCTTCAATTAAGCTGTTTACTTCTACCTCTGGCTTGCCCTTGACTTCTTTCCTGAGCAAAGCCAAGAACCCTCGCAGGCTAAGCTCGACTCTGGTTCCCACCTGCCCTGCATCAAGACTATGAATGTATGTAAATTGCATATGTATTTTGAGGCTTGGGCTTATGTCACTCCTACTGGCTTTTCTTGGTCATCACTGCCTTTGACTGGATTCAAATGGACACTGTGGCAGACCCTAATATATGTATAACAACTTTAACTGAAATTGAGATTGAAATCTGTACAAAAATTATATCAGTTCATAACCAAGCTGTGATATTATTACAGAGAGTTAACTAGGAAGAAATACTTTTTTCTGGTGGCTCTTTTCCTATATCTTATTTTGAACACCATATATAATAATTTCATGTCTTTGGATGTAGAAACATTTAAAATGTTTTCATATTCTTCTTTATGCTAAAGTTGAAGATTGTTCATTCTCTAATAACTTTGATGTACCATAACAATTGCCTTACCAAATAAATTCATTTAGTTTAGAAAATTGTATCAACTTTTATGTTGTTTCCTGTTTAACATTTATTTGATGTACAGTGGGCATTTAGATTTTTTTTTTTTACTTTGTTATAGATAGGTGGATACAAAGATAGAAAGATACATCAATAGATAATGGATAAATTCAGGTTAAATAATGGGATAAGGAAGTACATGAATGCATGTTTTACTTACTATGATTCAATGTCATTTGTAGATAAGGATGAATATCTTAGGAAACCTAGAGACCTTGTTTCACCTCCCTGCCAGGATGCTAAATCATTCCCTCCTGCTTCAATTAAAAAGAAAGACACCACTAGCAAATTAAATGATGCTGAAAGTGCAAGGGGAAACATATTTATTGGTATGTAGCAAATACATAGTGTACTTCCCAAAATTAGTACATGACACGATCTGCTTAATATCATTTAATTTAAAAGTTAGGTTTTTGCAAGTAACAAGAAATTCATGAAGAAAATTGTGAATTTGTCATTAATATTAAATGGATCATCTGTTTGGAGAGTTGTCTTCAAGGGTCAATAGTAGAGATTCTCTAATGTGCTTGATTCATAGCACTTTCACTATTTAAGTATTTATTTTCCAAATGCCAAAATGTACCACATAGTTCCATTTATTGAATGCATTGGGACAAAAATATAAGAGTAATAACTGATGTGCTATCCAACAGATGTTGCAGTAGTATTTAACTAAAATGTTAAATATCCTGTGGAGCCTCTAAATTTACTTAGATATCCCAAGCACTCTCTGTGCACAGTTTGGGAACTGCAGAACTAAGGACTTATCTCCTCAGTATCTAAATGTAGCCAATGATTCCTGTCTTAGAAAGAGGTCAGCACAGATAAATATGTAAGTTTCCTACTATTATTTACAATTAACTGTTCAAATATTCCTTTCTCTGGATTTGGTAATATTGAAAATTATTCTTTTTATTGAATGGACCAAACCAAATTAAATAATATGAGGTTTTTAGTGAGTGTGTGATTGTGCCATCATATAGACAGATATTTTTGGGAAAAAAAGGATGAAATTATTTTATATTCTTGAAAATTATTTTAACTTGAAAATGCTTTTATTAAAATACTTGATTTGGATAGAAAGTCACTTGGGATCTAAACCAATATTATGTTTGTATAATTTTTTCAGATGAGGTTAAATTTTTTCTAATACATAATGATGAAGATTGTCAATACATTTTACTAATGTAATAAAAAATGAAAGATTCCACTTCAGGGAATATTTTCACATACCATTATGGCAAGAAGAATATGTAACTTTTATTTATTGAAATCTACCTATTGTTAAAACATTTCTGTTGGGTACTTAAAAACAAATACATTTTCATTGTTTATTTTTAAGATATAGTAAATTGTTTAAGAATTTCTATGCAAGCATAGAATAATTTATAGAATGGGTTCTATTAGTCTACATACAAATGACAATAACTGAAAGAATATTTTACTCCTGGTCATGTAGCCTTTTTTTTTTTTAAACAAACTAATTTGAATTTTAGGAGTGGAAGCACTGCCTGAAAATTTCCACCTGGATAAAAGTGAATCAAAGAAAGATAAGAAAATATGTGAGCAATTACTTTCTATCGAAGAAGAGACAAAGACACACTGCTTTTTTGAGCAAGTTGTAAATGCAGCGCAGATCTGGTTCAGCCTCTTTGGCTGGCCTGAAGGACCTCATTCTCTTTGTATTCCAGGGTCTGTAAGAAGGTGAGAGTCACATGTTTCTCTAAATTCCTTGCTTTGTATCACATCATAAAATACAATCTATTGATTGAGATTAAGTGAAGTACAATATGAAATAATTTATTCTACACTGATATATTATGATGCATCTCATAATTTATTGTTATTGCAAGAAGAGTAAAATGATGCAAACACACATTCTTTAGTATAATGTCATCTTTAATTTCTTTTAAATATCTGTTAATTTTAGGCAAGCACTGAAAATCTGTGAACCTCACCTTCCTCATCTGTGATACGAGAAAGGTTATACTATGAGTAGGAAAGCCCTTTTAAAGTTGAAAATTTTGTAAACTACACATTGCTGTGTAAATAAACTATTAGCCCTAGATGGAGATTATAGCCCGGTAGACAGGTAATGGTATTAATGAATAGGGAGGGATCACCTTTCTTTGACATGATTTCTTCTTTATTGCGCATTTACTTCCCTTCTTTCATGTGTTGTTTTATTACTCAGTACGTCTAAAATAGTTCAACTGTTTTGGTTATATGAAGTGACTTAATTCTGTTGTTAAACAGGAGTTTAGGCCTATTATTTGTTATAATGTTGGTGTAGTGTGTTCTCAGAATTTTTCTGCCTGCTTTCTCAGCAATGAGGTGACTTGATGCAACCACGGTGGGGAGTAGAGTACTCATACCGATAGTGGACTATGGGCTATTTATATAATTTCCGCTCTATATTCGAGAGACCTAGGTAAAAACTAAGGCTACAGTTTTCCTATATGTTACCTTTTTCAGGTTTTTTAATTAATGGGACAAATCTGGCTTCATGGAATGAATTGGCTAATATTTCCTCTTTGACCCTGCTGTGATAAAATTAATGCAGTAGATACCCTGAAAATTTATAATTTTCATCATAAAATAATTTGGCTCCAGAAAATCTTTAGCAAAATTATTATATTATAACTTCAGTTTTCTGTTCTGGGGTTTTGTCTACTGAAAATTTTACCTGTTTCAATGAAATTTTAATGACTCGTTTTCATTTTGGAGGAAATTATTGATTGAGCATTTGAAATTCATTATTCAATAGGTGTGACTAGTAGTTTTTTTTTAATTGTACTTTAGATTCTGGGCTACATGTGCAGATCATGCAGGATTGTTGCATAGGTACATACATGGCAATGTGGTTTGCTGCCTCCATCCCCCTGTCACCTAGTCTTTCTGGTTTTTATTTACTTTATGCAGTTATATGTATTTCTTCATTTCCAATTGTGATTTTATTTTTTCTTGATTATAGGTATCAGGAATTTAATTTTAAATCTCATAAAATGAGTAAATCCTTGCATTAACTTTCCATTTCTGTGTTTTCTAAATCATGTAATACTGATTTTTTTATAATTTACTTTTCTTTACACCTGAATTGTATGCTTAATTAATTTGAGGTCTATAAATATATCTTTTTTTCTCCTTTAACTGCATTCCAGAATTTTTGTTACTAAGCAAAAATTTCTAGTTTTCATAGATTGAAATTTTAGTTTTTATTTTCTATATGATATTTACTATAATAGTGATTGCTAGTTTGTTGCACATTACATGATTGCATAAATTTATCATTATTTACTTGTAATTAACATTAATTTTGGGGCATATACTTGCTATTTTATCATATTTTTGGTTAGTCTAGATGCAGAAATAAATGCATTTGCTTATAAATCATAGCAGACACTTAAAGATACTATATGGGAAGCTTCTCAGAGGTGGGATCACTGGATCAAATAACATAAACTTCTTAAAGTCTCTTATAATACATTGTTGGATTATTTTTTATTACGTGTTCTGTATTAATCCCACTAATGAGATGAATTGTCAGTCTGGTTGTTTCCTGAGGGAATTGAGTGCTGTAACAGTTTAAAACCCACTATTTTGACAAGTAAGAAACAGCCCATGTTTCTTACTTGTCAAAATAGTAATCGGGAAAGGCAGTTCTGGAGAAATATGGGAACCTTTCTAGTTTTGGGAAGAAAGATACCTACAACCATAAAACTTTGATGAAAAATTAACTTTATCCAAGTGATGATATTATTCAATGCATTTTTTTTAACTTTTAGTTTCAGGGGTACATGTGCAGGTTGGCTCTATAGATAAATTGCATGTTGTGGGGGTTTGTGGTACAGATTATTTCATTATCCAGGTAATCAGCATAGTACTCAATAGGTAGTTTTAAAATCCTTACACTTCTCCCAACCTCCACCCTCAAGTGGGCCCCGGCATCTATTGCTCCCTGCTTTGTATCCACATATACTCAATGTTTAGCTCTCACTTACAAGTGAGAACGTGGTATTTGGTTTACTGTTGCTTTGTTAGTTCACTTAGGATAATGGCCTCCATCTCCATCCATGTTGCTGCAAAGGACATGATCATATTTTTTTGTGTATGTGTAGTATTCTGTGGTGCATATGTATAACATTTTCTTTATCCAATCCACCATTGATAGGCATTTAAATTGATTCCATGTCTTTACTATTGTGAATAGTGCTGCAATGACATATGCATGCATGTGTGTTTATGGTAGAATGATTCATACTCCTTTCTCTATACCCAATAATGGGACTGCTGAGTTGAATGATAGTTCTGTTTTAAGTTCTTTGAGAAATCACCAAACTGGTTTTCACAGTGGCTGAACTAATTTACATTTCCACCAGCTGTATATTAGTGCTTCCTTTTCTTCATAGCCTTGACAGCATCAGTTATTTTTTAACTCTTTAAGAATAGCCATTCTGACTGGTGTGAGGTGGTATCTCATTGTGGTTTTGATTTGCATTTTTCTAATGATTAGTAATGTTGAACACTTTCATATGCTTGCTGGTCTCATATATGTCTGCTTTAGAAAAGTATTTGTTCATGTCCTTTGCCTATTTTTAAATGAGTTGTTTGTTTTTTACTTGTTAAGTTCCCTATAGATTCTGGCTATTAGACATTTGTCAGAGAAATAGTTGGCAAATCATTTGTCTAATTCTGTGGGTTGTCTGTTTACTCTGTTGATAGTTTATTTTGTTGTGCAGAAGCTCTTTACTTTTATTGGGCCCCATTTGTCAATTTTTGGGTTTTTTTGCAGTTGCTTTTGTAATATTCATCAAAAAATCTTTGCCTGGGCCTACGTCTCAAATGGTATCTACTAGACTTTCATCAAGTATTTTTATAGTTTTGGGTTTTAAATTTAAATCTTTAATCCATCTTGAGTTGATTTTTATATATGGCATAAGGAAGGGGTCCAGCTTCAGTCTTCTGTATATGGCTAACCAGTTATCCCAGCACCATTTATTGAATGAGGAGTCCTTTCCCTGTTGTTTGTTTTTGTCCACTGTGTTAAAGATCAGATGTTTGTGGGTGTGTGGCCTTACTTCTGAGCTGCCTATTCTGTTCCATTAGTTTATGTGTCTATTTTGTACCACTACCATTGCTGTTTTGGTTACTGTAGCCTTTTAATCTAGTTTAAAGTCAGATCTAGTTTAAAGACACCTCTAGCATTTTTGTTGTTGTTGTTGTTGTTGTTAGTATTGCTTTGGCTATTTGGGCTCCTTTTTGGGTATACATGAATTTTAGAATAATGTTTTTCTAATTCTGTGACGAATGTCATTGGTAATTTGATAGGAATAGCATTGAATTTGTAAATCACTTTGGGTATTATAGCCATTTTAACAATATTGATTCTTCCTATCTATGAAAGTGGAATGTTTTCCCATTTTTATCATCTCTGATTGATTTGAGCAAATTTTTGTAATTCTTGCTTTAGAGATCTTTCACCTTCCCAGTTAGCTGCATTCCTAGGTATTTTATCTGTTTTGTGGCTGCTGTGAATGTCATTACATTCTTCATTTGGCACTCAGCTTGGGTGTTATTGGCATATAGAAATTCTACTGATTTTGTAAATTGATTTTGTATCCTAAAACTTTACTTAAGTTTAAAAATCAAATCTAGGAGCTTTCGGGCAGAGACTATGCGGTTTTCTGGGTATGAAACCATATCATCGGCAAACAGAGATAGCTTAACTTCCTGCCTTCCTACTTGGATGCTCTTTATTTCCTTCTCTTGCCTGATCGCTCTGGCCAGGGCTTAACAATACTATGTTCAATAGGAGTGGTAAGAGTGTGCATTCTAGTATTCTTCTGGTTTTCAAGGGGAATGCTGCCAGCTTTTGCCCAGTCAGTATGATGTTGGCTATAGGTTTGTCATAGATGGCTCTTATTATTTTCACATATGCTCCTTCAATGCCTAGTTTGTTAAGGGTTTTCACCTGAAGGGATATTGAATTTTATAAAAAGCCTTTGCTGTATCAATATGATCATGTGTTTTTGTTTTTAGTTCGGATTATGTGATGATTCACATTTATTAATTTGGAAATGTTGAACCAACACTGCATCCTAGAGATAAAACCTACTTGACCTTGCTGTGTTAGCTTTTTGATTTGCTTCTGGATACAGTTTATTAGTATTTTGCTGACAAGTTTTGTATCTATGTTCATCAACAATATTGGCCTGAGGAATTTTTTTGTGTGTCTCTGCCAGGTTTTGGTATCAGAATGATGCTGATCTCATAGAATGAGTTAGGGAGGAGTCCCTCCTGCTTGATTTTTGGAGTAGTTTCCATAGGAGTGGTACCAGTGCTTCCTTGTACATCTGGTAGAATTCAACTGTGAATCTATCTGGCTCTGGGCTTTTTTTTTTTTTTTTTTTTTTTTTT